ATTCTCGGAACGCCCCATATGATTTGTTTTGTTTGGGCTTATATTTTTCCCTTTATTGAGGGTCAGAAAATTTCGTTTCTAGCTTCTCTTTTTGTGGATAACTCCTCAATTGTCCAATATTTCCTTAATTTGGTGGTGTTGGAATAATAGCATCGGACCAGTTTCATCATAGCACATTAGCACTTGTTTCAAAGAAATCTTTGAAAGCATTAGTGTACTGGGGGCAGAGATAATTGACCAAGATTAAAACTAAAGTATATAACCAGCTCAGCCCACTTTTGTTAGATTTAAAAAAAAGGTAAGTGATACAAGTACATTAGGGGTTGGACACCATGGCACCCCTAATGTACAAGAAGAATTATCCTTAAAAAAATGCATACCGTTTATAGTAGTACAATTAAGCCTTCCTTTCAAGCCTTCCTTTCATTGTAGTATACCAGTTCGTAAAATTCATTTTTCTAATAGCCCAGCCGAAACTTTTGGTTCGAGGGTACTTCACTGCTATATAACATGTGCAATAAGTTGTCACGAGCAATCAATCAAAGCAACTCGTGTCTTGATATATATTATACATAATCTGTCTTGTGCCCTGCCAAGTCTAGCTAGATTCTCGTCCAATACAGCTTAAATTTTCATTTGCTAACAGAACTCTGTACAATGATTTACATCTTATGGAACTTCCATTCACATTTCCAACTAAAATATATATATATATATATATATATATATATATGAATCACAGCTTACATAATTGCCAGTAACAGAAAATATATACATATTGGCATGAAAGCATAGAGACAGACGGGCTTAATAACAATCTTCAGCATCCAAGCGCTGGCAAAAGTTAACGTTAACACAATGATCCAGTACTTTCAACCAAGCTGCGTACCTCTTCACGAATGCATGACCGAGTCATCATGTTTCCTGGAATCAAATAGTTCTCCTGAATTCAACAGAAAACACAAACCCTATTGTGTTGCATTGATTCAAAGAATATTTCTTTTATTTTCTAGGAACATATGAGAAAGTCGACAAAGAAAAATGGCACATCTTTTCGTCTCAAATCAGCCTGACAAGGAGGTTTGACAGATATGCTACACACTGCAAACTCAAAGTCGCTAAATACCATCAGATATCCATGCATCTTTTGTTTCGTCTTTCCACAATCCCCACTTCCATCTTACTCTAGAGCAATGCGCCATGCACCTTGAAATAAGGCTGTTGGTGACATTAGAGACAACATCACGGTGGATAAGCAATGCCATGTCAGACAGTTTAGTACAATTCTCCAAAATGGAGAAGATGGTTGATATCGTCATCTCAATATCGTTCACTGTTAAATAAGCAGTAATTTTTTTTAACCCTTTCATCTGAAGCCTGGATTCTAAACCAACCTGGCCAGGATATGTTTCAAATTCTGACCAAGCTCCAGGGGCCAAAGTGAGAGAACTTACGTTTGGGAAAACATTAAGCATTAACTCAAAGGTGGACTTAGTTACACCAACTGGCACTTCCCACCTTGTTGAGACAACAGTTAGATTCTTAACTGTTTTACCGAAAGGAAATGTAACAAGTAGGTTGCGGAGGTCCGTGGATTCAAGATGAAGCCTTCTCAAGTCATGTAGTCCTTTCACCTTGAAGTTGCCAGCAGTCTCAAGAGAGAGATGTAAATCAGATAACAATGGAGTCTCAATCACAAGCAGCTTTGGCTTCACACAAATAAGTTTGAGCTTAACAAGATTGGGTGCAATGATGGCTAATGAATTTGGAGCGTTAGACACTATACATTGACATGTTTTGAGGTGCATGAGATGAATCCTGGGTTCTTTAAGTCCTCCAACCCCAATCAAATTAAGAACTTGCAATGAAGGGAAAGATTCATTGATCTTGTTCAAGTCCTCGTCATCCAATCTAATGAATTCAAGTGTCAAATTTGTTAGCTTTGGCATTGGATTTAGGCCATCAACTGATAGCCATGCATTCTTGACATCTAACTCTGAGAGATTAAGACCTGCATATGTATGAATACAAGATTTTAATTGAAATGCAAAAATGTGCTTGATATGAAACATCAGATCATCCTATCATGTTATATGGTACTCAATCATCCATATAACTCTGAGACTTTTCAATGAATCAATTCAATCAATATCCATATTCTAAACTAAACCGGAATTACTGCAAGAAAAAATGCACATACTTCTGGAGATATTAACATATAACACAAAATCAGCTTCATAAATCAATATTACAATTCAATTAATACCTCAAAAACCGCACCAACCATGCAAAATTACAAATTATACACGAATTAATATTAGTCTAACTGATTGCACAATAAAGAATTACTTCCACATATTCGAAGAAATTAGAGGGGAAAATGAAGGCTCACAATGGGAAGAAATAAGGGATAGCACATCGGATCGGCGCCAGCAAGACTGAACCCAAAAATCCGATATCGAAATCGATTTCAGTCCTCCACACACCTTAGGTAACCACTCCATAGAAAAATTCTCATCACTCAAGTACAAATCGGCCTCCTCATCCTCCATATCATCGTACGCTTCATATCTTAGCGGCTTCTCAACGCCCATGGAAACGCTCTCGACGATTTCCAATTCGGAGATTAGTTTAATGAAAATCTCCTTGAAAGGCGTGATAGAGGAGCTGGTTAGAGGAGAGCGCGATTTAGCATATCTATCATAGGAGCACTGGAGATTGACGGAACGGATATCACGAGCAATTGAGTTCAGGGTCTTCGAAGCAACTCGGCACCGAGCCAAGTCCTCCGAATCTCCGAGTCGACTCAGGATCTCGAGGAGGAGTGGTGGAGGAAGGTCTTCCATGGAGATGGGAGAATCGAATGCTGTGGACGGTGGACCGTTTCAATTATGTCTCTTTGTGCCTTCGGATGTTGCCTACTGTTGTAAATTATACAGTTTGTACAGTTTAGAGGTTTGACTTGAGATGGCGCGTTTTGGTAAATGAAAAGAATAATCCTATGCAACCCTTGATATTCCGATCCAAGTTTAGGTAGTTATGTGATAGATTCAATGAAATGTAAAATTAAATAAGTAATTTAATTAGACTTATTATTTAATGTCACACTGACTCCACCTAAATTGATATTACCACCCTAGTGGGACTAAGTAATATTGCGCAAATGAAAATGGATAACTAAGCACCACACGGTAGTTGGGTCGCTTTAAAGAATTCTTTGAAATATTTTAAGGGGAAAATTAGTAACATAGAGATTAAAAGGTAACAAATTGAAAAGGATAATGTTATTCATAACGAGGATTACTGATAGTTATCATATGTGGCATACATATGACAATTTGCTGTTTGATATTAGCAATTTTTAATTGTCTTATACTTCAAGCAACAAAATGTCACATGTATACGGCATAAGGTGACTATCGATAATTTTTGCTATGAATAACATTACTAAATTGAAAAATACGGTCATTTAAAATGTTGAGATCCTATTTACTATTAATGGAAGTTAAAAACACTGTATAATCGAGTTTGTCCACAACACCAAGGGGCCACCCCAAAAGTTTCCTGAAATTTTTTTTTTTTTTTATTTGATATAAAATTACTTAGGGCAACGCCTCAAAATTTCATCATATTTTATATTTAATTATATGAGCAAGATGAGCTAAATTGACATCAAATAATTTTTTTAATAATATTGACGTCTAAAAATGAAAATGAGGTTAGATTATTCAGTCCCTGTTTGTCTACCATTATTTCAAAAATTTGTTTGCTATAGTAAGATTTTCCACCACACATTCATCCAATAAAATATTCTACACACAAACCAATAAAGTTACTTTAATTTTCAACCACACATTCTCCAAAAAATACTATTTATTACTCTATTTTTCTCCCATTAATGGGAGACAAACACACCCTCAATTCAATTTTAGTCGTCATCTTTGATTTTTTTTTTTTTTTTTTGAACTCTCTTTTGAACGATTTTCAATTCAAAACATGAGTTGCAAAGTTTACCGTGAATATTACGTAACGATAATAAGGACCTACCCCGACAAGTGAAAATCAAAGCCAAAAAAATTCGAAAGAGGTTACACCAAAAATTAATTAAGAAATAAATTAGATTATTAAGTCCAATTCTAACCACCATTATTTTGAACTCATTGTTTACTGGTTTTTCAGTGATAAAGATATGATGTGATGTTTTCCATAATACTTCGAAATGGTATGAAAACCCTCTCACGACGAGGGAAAAATGTACTTGATGACGCTAAAATAGGAATTAAAAGATACAAGTTATGAAGCATGTGATTTTTCCGATTTTAAAAGGCTCTTACGTGTGCTCTTCTTGATACGATGCGGAGCCAAATGAGTTTTTTAAGAGGTTGTAACTTACTGATAAGCAAAGTATCAAATAAGCCAATATAAACAAAATGTAACTTCAAAAAAAATATTCTAATTCATTGGCAAAAAAAAAAAAAAAAAGAGTTTAAATATTATGTCAATTTCTAATGGATCAATTTACTTCATCGACAACATAATAAAACATATATAACATTTTAACCGGTCCTTATAATCGTATATTAAGTTTACACGTTGTATCAAATAAGCCAAGCATATTCGTTATGGTCTAGTTCAATATAATTTGAAGCAAACATACACCATTAAAAAAAATGTGGTCTATTAAAGGTTTTTAGCATGATATTTCAGTTTTGTGTTATATACACAATGAACGTTACGCAACTCTTTAAAATAGAAAGTGAGCTTTTCTCTTTACATTTGGAGTGCTGAGAACATGTCCAAGAAAATATATTTTTAAAGAGCATTTTTAAATTTAAATAGTAAAATGCTCTCAATTTTAACCTTTCATTTTGTTTTTTTTTTCCAAGATACATTTATTGATTTCTATTGATCTTTTATTTAACTTTTTTTTAACTGTTGCGCTACTTATACATTACAACTTACAGATTTGTTTACCAACAGATAATGTGAAGAGATTTGATTGAGTCAAAAATCTTATCAACCAAATTAAAAAAAAAAAAACCTTCTCTACTT